ATTTGTGCAGGGGATGTCCTAGATGATGGTCAGTTTGTGTGGCTATCTCAGGAGGAGTTGCTTCTTCTTACCCGTGATGGTGGCCGGCTTTGAGCTCACACCGCCGATGCCGCTGCCGTCCACGTCGATCTGCTGGATAGTGGGGCTTGAAGGGGACCTTAAGACCCTGACGTGGGAGGACGGGTGGCAAGGATGAGCCGTAACAAAATGGATGTCCTTCATCAGTGAAAATTGGTGCTCCTTTGCTTCGCCGCCATTGGGACCGACAGAAAAGGAGATGGAGGCCGGATATGTGTAGAGTTCGTGAGCTCGGGTCACGTCCGAGAATGGGGTCATCACCATCTCCTCAGTCGGAGTGGTGCGGGTTGAGTCCACGGGCGCAGATAGATTGAGCGATGTCAAGGAAATGCTCAGGCTCGGAGGCGGCTCCGAATAGTTATTCTCATAAGGGATGATGAAATCCGCGGGGAGTACCGAGCTAGGATCCGCATCACCCAGAACACAAGACTCGCGCTCGACGTGAGTCTTACCCCACAACCGGGCTTGCTTGCCTGTCTTTTTCATGTCATCTGCCAACGATGTTTAGTCTACGTCAATGGAGAGCTGATTAGAGAGTCACTTACCACAGACTTCGGCAACATCAATATTGACCCAGCCGTCACCATGTCCTTGGGGAGTGATATCGCTCGAGATCCATCCCATACATTGAGCAGAGCCAGCGCCAGCAGCAAGAACGCGGCCAATGATGCAAGCCGTGCTCCAGAAACTCTTTCCGCGATACACGAAACCACCGCATAAGTTTGCCATCGGGCCTAATTTGGACATTGCCTCCTTGTCGTTCTCCAAGAGAGTGGTCATGATCAAGTGGTACAGTCCTTCGCCTGGAAGCATGAGGCCGGACACGTAAGACTTGGATAACCATCCCGACGGGTGTAAAGCTGCCGAGATCTTGTGCTTCCCGGACGGGTGTCGAGTAACGCTCGCTTCTGTCCGACCGCCACCGAAATAAGATGATCTCTTTGTGTCGATGCTCATTGGTGTCTCCGCAGGCGTGTGAATCGGCGTTGCTTCTGATACCTTGTTGACTGTCTCGGAAATCTGCTCGGCGTATGTGTCTGATTCGATATCGGGCCAGCGAAGCTTTCTTGCAAAATTCGTCAAGCCATTGACTTGTCTCTCGCTGTACCGTCCCTGAATGGTGTACACGGAGACGTCGCCGTGAGAATGAGCATGGCTATTTGGATGAAGGCTCATCTTCCCAGTCAAAGATGCCAGCCATCCGCCAGAGTTGCGCTTTTGAGTATTCGCTGGATCGACCTTTCGCTCAATGATTTCAATGTTCTCCAGCCAGGCGCGTGCCAAGTGCAATGACCACTTGACTGTTGAGTTTGCATCCTTTTCAAAGCGCTTAATCTCGGTGGGTCTAATGCTCTCGATACCGAGCTCTTCGCCTTCTGTAATGGCATCTAGCCTAATGAGCAGCTCGCACGCCAGGAGAATCTGAAGCAACAACCAGTATCTCTCCTCTTTGCGCTCCTCGTTGCTGTCAGCGTCGTCGATCTCGACGTCCGTTTCGAGCTCGTCGCCTTCGAAGGAACCCCAGAGGATCTGACCCAGTCTGATTCTCCATTCCACGTGGGAGAAGTCGATCCAAACATTGGGTGCAGCAAGGACTTTGACAAGCGCCGAGATCTGTACAGACAGGCTGTAGGGGTCATGGTGGTCGATGACGCGGGTTGGCGGATGCAGGATGCCCAGGAATAGCTCGTTGTACAGGGTGTTGTGGATCTTTCTGTGGACCTTGTTCTCCTTGTACCTGGCGCCATTCTTAATGAGCTGATCCAAAATGGACGATTCCTCCAAACGGCGAAGTCCGTCTTTGGAAGCCAACATTCTCTGGCGCTGTTCGACGATAGCTTTGGCCTTGGACCCAATGCTGTCGAAGCCGAACTGCTCTTCCTGAAGCGCATCACCAACAGGCATCTCCAGAGCCGCCTGGTACCCCATTGTGCCCTTCTCCAAGCCTTGCATACTCAGCATATTAGGCCGTTCTCGGCATCGGGGGTAGAAATGGGCTCGCTTCCTTTCCTTGGCGCACCGTATAGCAGCAGGATTGGAGTTCATGTCTCTTGTGATATGAGGCCAGGCTGTGATGCAGCTCCAGGCGGCGTCCTCGATCTGGACATGGTCGGTCAGGTCGCGGATCTCAAGCGACTCGTCCCAGGGAAAGGCGACAGATGGGTGGGGAGCGCCGGTGTAATGGCCCTCGGAGCGAGCAAAGTACTGAGGAGCTCCAGAGAAGAGCTTCTCAACGTCGTCGTCGCTGAGAGTTGCCATGATTTTCGTCAGTTTCAGAACTGGTTTGGCGGAAGGGCCATTGGCTTTCTGGTCGGCGCTGTCGAAGACGAAGGGAGGCGGGGAAGGCAGTGGCTTATTGGGGTTGAGAGGGGGCGGCGATCGAGAGGAACGGGACTCGGCACTGCTTTGCGGAGGGGAAACCTGGGGTTTGCTGGTGAGACACAACGGCTTTTACAACGATTGAACAAAGAGACGCGGCCCAATTGGGGTAATCAGAAGAGCTGGTGTTAGGTTTTGACACTGGAAAGGACAAGATGGTTGGTTGGGTTGGTATGATGGTCTGCTTTCTCTGCGGGTAAACGAGAGACGACGTCTTTGTCTTCAACCGTTGGAAAGACGTGGCTGATGATGGCAGCAATGGACTGCAAAAGAAACTGTAGACTTGGAGAAAGAAAGACTGTCGACGAAGAGAAAGACAGAAAGGGGTGTGTTATACAAGTAACATTGACTAAAGTAAAGAGGGGACAGGAATTGGAGTCTCGGAAGCTGATCACGCGGCAGAGAAGGGACGGGTTATGCAAGGGAGCAACGGAGGTATAGATCGTCAGAGTCTGAGCAACGGGGTAGGTATGGAGGCTTGGAAACTTGGGAAGAAGGTATTAAGTAAGAATTAAAGGAACACTGGAACAGCGGATGAACATCTCGAAGGACGTCACTGCAAGCAACCTAAGCTGATGGCCAAGCAAGCAGACTGATGAGCAATGAGATGATGGATGGGCAAAGCAGAGATTGCAAGACAGGGCAGACCAGAAGTGGCCTGATGCAGCTCCCATTTGATGGATTGCATAGGACGATGGCGGGGGAGTGACACGGTGGAGAGGGGAATGAGGTCGTGGTGCAGTTGTGGTGCGTCGTGCTGCAGACTGTGGCGCCGCCTGCCTCACCTTACGCAGTACCGTCACTGCCACCGTTTCCGAGCCTTACGTAAGGTACCTAGAACAAGGTATCCTCACCTAAGAACTCAAGATGCAGCCGCAGCCTGGTGAGGTGGGGACAGAGAGGGAGCTTGGAACTACCTAAGGAAGCTACCGAGTATACACAGTAGAGTACCCGAGAAGCACAGGCAGGGACCTGCCACTGCCTTTTTCACTTTTGTGCAGATGCTCCTCTTCCACTGTCTGTGTTTTCATCTCCGTCTGCGGCGCACGGAATGTCCAGCCTTGGCCAAGACAAACCCACCGACACCGACGCGGGAACCGGACCTGGTCTGAGAGTGCGGGGGAGACAGCACGGAGGGAAAGGGGGGGGGGGATTATGGTGGGTGGTAGTGAGGGAAAGGTGCGTGTGATATGGGTAAAGCATGTAAGCTATGCGCAAGCAAGTTTGTGTCCAAGCAGCATTGCTGCGTTGCGTGCATCTTCCCGGTACGGCCTTGCTGCTATTCTGAGGAACTTCCTCATCTTCCAAATTTCGGTACCGGGGACATCGGGGACGTCGGACTAGGTGGACTCGAAGCACCTCATCTCAGGGACCTTGCCTGAGAAGATAGACTGGGGTACGGGACCATAAAAAAGGTGGAAAATAGAACGACGAAGACGCTGGCGATCTGACGAGATCGAAGTATCGATCGAAATGTGGGAAGCTAAGACTTTCTGAAGGGAGCCGACTGTTTGGTGTAGAAAGGAATTACAGACAACAACGCATATAGATACGAAGAAAGGCAAACTTACGGGCAACTTCGTCGGTGACTCGGCACCGGGACCCCGTCCAGACTTTGTTGACGAAGCCGGCGTCGATGCGCTGCTGCTGACACTCCGGCCTTTGCTGCGACTCAACAGCCCTCCAAAAAGATCCCGTTTGGAGAACTTGCGCTCCCGCTCCGCCTCGCCCGTTCCGATCCCCAAGCCGCCCGCCGGCGCCTCCCTTCCATTCTCCTGTGGCGGCGAAAGCGGTGGTCGGGCTTCTTGTTGTTGTCGTGGCTGGCGCTTCGAAGGGGATAACGGCCGCTGGTCGTGTGCCTTGGATCCTCGTCTGAGGAGTGATAACGACGGCATATTTGCTGCTGCTGCTTCTGCTACAGATACCAGTCGCGGATTGTGTTAGTCGTGGGTTGGGATGAAGTTTGCCGTCGTGTTCGTCTCATTCGTCTCGATTTCGTCCCTGTTCTTCCCCTAAGGTAAAGTAAAGTCTCCAGTCTCTTTCTCGTCTTTGTTTTCTCAGAATCTTTCCCACTCTCTTGCAACTTGTAGTTCTTCTGCTCTTTCGACAAGCTTTCAACCGCGTAATCCTGATCCTCCAAGGTGGCTGATCCAAAGTGGCGTCGTGTGAGGAGCTGGTGGTGATGGCGATGGTGGTGGAGGAAAAGCCCCGACGTCTTATCGCCGACCGGAATGATGCAAGTTCAGGTTTCTGCAAGGTAACCTTTCAAATGTCGCAGTGAAACCCCGAGTTGCGGTGTTGAGTCCAAGTCTTGTTGCAAGCAATGTAAGTGGACGCAGGCCCGAGTAAACGATAGGCAGGCAAGCGTCGAAAGGCCGTAGACAGGTAAAATAATAAACAGGGGGAAAAAAATCGAGACGAAGTAGAGGAGGAGGGGGATGGGGGGCAAGTCTTGTAAGATGAGAATCAGAAGTAAAGAAGTGGGAGATGCAGTCTTACAGCAAATGAGAGGCAAGGCGGCAGGATGTTAAAACAAGAAATGAATGCGAATCAATAACAGAGACAGACAGACACACACGGCCGATGGTCTGCCAAGGCAGGGGTGGACTTGGACTTGGAGGGGAGTGACAACAAGAACAACACTTTCTGTATCCGTATCTCTCTCTATCTGTTATCATCCACTATTTCTCTCTCTCTCTCTTTCTTTTGCTTTCCTCACTCCCCTCTTTGCGCTGCTGGACACGCTCTCTGCCTCCCACTCACTCAGTCCATTTGTTGGGCTGGGCCTGGGGCCCTTTGGGCTCGACTCTTTCGACGAAGGGGGTCCCCTTCTGACTGGACCAGTGGACAGTAACGGGATAAGACATCCACGGGTTAGGACACGACGAGGGGGGCCGCAGAAGAAGCCATATCCACTTTGTTGGTGTACCCCTCGTCCTAGCCGCAGGCGACATGCAACAAGGCACCGGGGGGAGGGGATCTGGCTGTCTAGTCCGCTACGGCAAGGACAGCGAGAAAAACAGAGAGAGGAAAAGGCGTCCTCGTGCCTATTACTTTTCACGTATCTGAATATAGCTGCATACCCTGGGATAGAGAGCTCTGGGGGTGGAGGGAAGCGAGGAAGATGAGCCCCCCTCCCCCTCCCACCCCGGGCTAAGAGAAGAAAAGGGTGGGCAGAACGAACGGCAGTCTCAGATCTTCAATGCTCCCATGTCGAGTGAGAAAAAAAGGTAGAGAGACAGGGACGAGCAGAGAGGAAAAAGCACCGAAAGGGAGATCAGCAAGATTACAAGATTAGGGAAGAGACGAAAAAAGAACGCCCTATGGAAGCAGAGCGAGCTTCAGCTTCCCGTTCGTTCGTCATTCTCCCACCCCATAATCCAGATGGACCAGGGGGGGAGGGGTGTGAGTGCCAGAGTGGGCGTTCCGCGTCTGGCAGGCATGGCATGGACTTTATGTATGTGTGTGTGTGTGTGTGTGTGTGTTTTTGCACTCTTTCTGTCTCCCATCCCTCGTTGTGTAACTTGCTGCGTTGTGACTTCATCGGGGAGTGCTCAGCCCAGCAAGAAAACCAGGAGCCCAGTTCCATGTAAACCTCTAGGATATCTTAGGGGCTCCACCCGGACTCCCGCGTGGCGGCCGGCTTCGCCATTCTCGCGTTGCCGTGGCCTTGGAATTGCCATGGTGTAATGATGATAAAGCAGCGAGGCAGAAAAAAAAGAAGAGATCAACAAGATGACGACCAGCTCGAATGGCAATTCTAAAATGTCGCACGGCGCGGACTGAGGAGAGGCATGTCAGATTTTGAAATTGGCGGCTTGTGCTTTTTTTCTCTTCATCTTATCCCGTATAACGCCAACCGAATTATACCCTCCCTCACCTCGTCATTGCAGTGGTGCTAATGTCAGATTGCATGATAGCGTGCGTTCTGCCCGCCGCTCATCTTTTTCGGTCTTGCATTGTCTCCGGCAGGTCCATCGACAACGAGAGATGTCCACTGAGGACTCGACAGGGGTACATGAGGCAAGAGAAAAAGATTCGCAGACACACACACACTCTCTCTCTCTCACACATCAGACAGCCGCAGCGGGTAAAGGGAAAGGAGATCCATGATCACGGCCGCAACAAAACACCATTTTAGGGGCCCCCTCTCTCGTCATCGACAAACAGGTGGAGTTTCTTCTAGATGGGCTTGGTGATGAAGAAAGAATAAGAAATCATGAAGAAAAGTCATTTCGTGGGAAGTAATGGGGATGAGGAAAAAGAGACGAAGGAAGTTACGAAACGCAAAAACATCTGCAACAGGCCAGATTCAGAAAGCTGAAAATCACACTACACTGCAGGTATCCGTAAAACCAGCTGGCCTAGGTCTAGCCTTCTCGCTCATCGAAAAGTGCATGTGAAATCCACCCAACTTGCCTTAAGCCGCTACGATGCTCGCCAGCTCGCGGCCCTCCGAGACAGGGTCTCGTTCGTCTTTTTGGGGAAGATCTCTGATTAGGTAGTTTCGGGGATCCGCAAGCCCACACAACATCGCTCCTCTCCACCTCCTTTGGGCAGTGGGAAACCAGAGAGGGGAGGAGGGGAGGATTGACGATGGATCAAGGTGTCTGTCTCATTGGATTTCATGTTGCAGCTGCGGTGGGCTTCTTCTCTGGTTGATGTTGCGTTGTCTGCTCTTCTCGGAAAGCCTTGATTTCAATACTCACCGGAATCGTGGGATTCTGACCCCGAAACACCCTCACTCATGCCGGATACGGTTGGGCAATACCGGAAGAAAAGAAAAAGAATGCACATACCGCATCATTAAAGAGAAGGGCCAAAAAGCAAGAATACCACGAAATTCGTATATGCCGCTAAAAGGTCAAAAATCGAGTACTCCGTACTCCGTACAGGCAGTGCAAAAGAATTCTAGGCAGGGCCAGGTTCGAATTAGCAAGGACCACGCTTGTGCGGCAAAGATGGTGCAATTTGACATTTCTTGCAGAACTTGAACGCCACCATCGTCAGTAAACCAAAACCCATTTGCCGGGCCCAGTCGTCGCACATCACTTTCCTTTGCAAGCCGAAGCACGCATTGTGCCACCAATGGGTTTTAGGGCCGAACGGCAGAGAAATAGCGTATTACGGAGGTACCGTGTCGCGTCTTATTTGCGTGTGGCTTGGAGACCTTGAAGACCTTGAACTTCTTCCCGCCCGCCTCCCCTTGGCATTAAAGATCTTCCCTTCGGCTGTTCTTCTCGAACGTCTAGCAAAGGAACCAGCATTTCGAATGCCGCCGAGCCGACCATGAAATGGTGGGATTTAATTGGAACCGAGTCCCTGAACGCAAGGATGACCTTGAACTTCTGGCTGTGAAGCTCTAGCTTGAACTTTACAGCCCAATTTGCCTCCCCCTCGTGACCATTCTGAAATCTACATAGATAGAGAGGGTCTAGTATTGAGAACATTCATGGAACTATTTCAAGCACGATTTCCGAAACGAAGACAACGGGAAGCTTGCCTCACGCGGCAAACCGACAAGCTCTGCTCTACCCTTCCCGCCAGGACCGAACGGAACATGGGACATACTTTCTTTGACAAGGGGGGCCTCCGTCGTCGTGGCTTGGGAGAAGGTCTCCGCCGGAGAGCATGAGCACTGGGCAGCTGGTGGGCCTGGATCTACCTGGACTGTGGACATGAGACGACATGTCACGGGGGTGAGTGTGGGCGCGACGTGAACAACGAAGGGAGCAGTGCTGGGCTTCTCTCCATTGTTCTCGAACATCTTCGTCTCGTACCACTGGAGCAAGGGGGACAGGAGGCAGGAGGAAGAGAACGGATAAGAAAGGAGGTTGTATTATTCTCAGCCGAAGGTCCGGTTCCTCCAGCAAGCCGGAAAGGGGAAGAAAGGCATATCATCAGAAAGGTCTCTTGACAAAGTTGACAAGTTCGGGAAGTAGAGAGCTGCGTCCCGCGGACTAATTCTGAACCCTGACTATAACACCAGTTCGCATCCCTAACAGAGTTCAAATAAAAGCCCACCGCCGAGGTGACTTCCAAACGGAACGGGTTACACCAACGAGTTGCAACAGAGCTGGCCCTGGTGCGTTGCGTACGCCGTAGACATATTGACATTGACATGCTACTATAGAAGCGAGAACGTCCAGAAGGACGCAAGAAAAAGGTTAAAGGAAACTCTAAAGGAGCCCCAATCTCCCCTTTACGACAAGTTTACACGAGAAGGGCCAGAACGGAAGAGGACGAGGGCGTGAGCAAGCGAGCCTAGTAAGCCCCCCGGCGTCTCGGCAGGACCTCGCCACAAGTTACTGAAACGAGAGGAGGAAAGATTTCCAAAACAACAGGCAAGGCTCATACATAAAAGTGCGCTAGCAAAGAGAGAGAGAAAAAAGTTCGGAGTATGGCCGGGCCAAATTCCTCGCCGGCATCCACTGGGATTGTCGCCAACGTAGCAAATCCTCGACCGCCGACTGGTCGACAAGCCCGAAGCGACACTGAAGCGAGAAAGCGACGTGGGTGGTGGTGGTAAACTGGTGGTTTCCTCAAGGGGAAGGGCCTTTAATTTAATTCCCAGGTGTTTGGGGGGGGGGGGGCAAGGGGTGTGTGGTTGCAACCTCTGCCCGTCAACGTTTTGAACTTCGACTTTCCCAAATCCGAACCGGCGCCTCATCCCGGCCTAGTTCCAGCCCACTTCCCGTTCACTCGGTGTCGCGCCACGTTTCTAGGCGCACCCAAAGCCCCAACCAAGCTCTGGGGGGGAGCTTACCAATATGTTTGCGAGCCACTGAGCTTCCCGGATGATATAGAGCTCATGTCCGTGGTGCTACACCTGGTTCGCGAGGCTAGCTATTTTAGCTTCAGAGCTGGAAGTGTCAGAATGCTAATGTTATTTTTTTTTTTTTTAAACCAGGCAAGGGAGAAGCGGACGTCTCGGCTCGGACGGGTTGTCGCGGAAGGCAGGGAAATGCCCAGCTTCCGGAGCTGACGGGTATGGCTTCCGCGGGGGGCCTGGGCTGGGCTGGCTAGGCTGTCCGCCTTGTCCTATATCACGAAACGATGATGGCTTCGAACATCATTTTGAGTTTGCACTTGTCCATCATTTCTTGCATTCATCTCGAGCTATCCGGCAGGGCCGCGGCCCTGGCCGCGATCGCCCGCGTAACACCCGCCCCGGCTTCATTCCGGACGTATATGCTGGAGGGTCGTGGCGGATGGTAATATCAGGGTATCATTCGTAATCGCGCCCGCCTCGACCGTCCATGCCGAGAGCAGCTATCTATCTCTCTTTCCCCCCTTGTTTGTTTTCCACGTGTGTGTATGTGCGTAGAGCTTGCAGCTTGGCAGCTTGAAGGAGGGTTTCCCGGTTTCCCTTTCCTGCGTATTTGTAAATACGATGGTCTTGGAGTCGACCAATGAGCATGTCAATCCTGACCCTTTGCCCTTCCAGCTTGGCGAACGCAAATCCTCCTGAAGGACGTCCGCTCGGTGAAGCCAATAGCGATAAGTCCGTGAAACGCCGATCGATGCCAACATCGTGAGTCAGGCCTCTAGACTCTTCAAGCCGGCGGTGTGTCATGTACTACGATGAGGAGGTACTTCGGATCTGGTACAATGACCAGCTCCTGTTTTTTCGTTCGTAGCCTCAGTAGCTTCAGCTCATCCTGTTCCAAATGATTAGCCTCGGCCCTCCCTCCAGGGGTGAAGATTCGTTCCGCAGTCGCTCTAGGGACAGACGTGTCACTCCTCTTACCTCGGTATCCAGGTCCAACACCAGGGTGCCCGACGCATTCACCCAGTTCCAAACCTTTGCGGCAAAGTCCTCCAAGCCTTGCGGTTGCTCCTCGCCGTTCTGCTGCTGCTGCGCCGCGGCGCCCTCGCCCGAGAAGGAGCCTCCTCCGGATGTCTGTAGCGTTGCTGCGTTGAAGGACGACAGCTGACCGCTCGTTCGTAGTATCGCGCCGGTGACTCGGTCGAGGATGACGGTGGCTTTGACGCCGGGTTTATTCGAGAGGCGCTTGAGGGTCTCGTCCAGCGCGTCTGGTCCGTTGGTCTGCGAGGGGACACATTCTTTGTTTAGCTATGACGCCATTGCTGAAGAGCAGGAGGGGTCGAGGTCGCTCACGGGTGTTGCGTCGGCCATATTTGATAGACTGAGAGTTGAACAAACGAGAGACAGGTACGGGCGACGCTGCTTCTGAGAGCGTCTCAAATTGTACCGAAACTTCGCAAAAGAATCGAGTGTCGTTGAATCGTGGAAACAAATGAATGCCCCCGAAAGCTGGGTTGGGTCTCGTCTGTAAGGCTGGGTTGGAAGCTAAAGTGCCCAATAATTGGAGCTAGGATGCACCGGGTAACAGCGTCTCAACGTTGTGGTGGGGCTGAGTTGCGAGGGGACCAGGAGCTTGACCAAATTCTGCCGCACCTGACCGCCGAAAAGTTCTGGCTCCAGACTTTGCAGGGGTCCTAACCTTCAATGAGCCAGCCATCTCATGTGAAAAGTGACCAAGACTTCATTGCTCAACACTCGGAAAATTCTACAAAAATTCAGTCTCACAGCCATAAGATTCACAAATAAACCAAGTCAACTCAGGAGAGAATATCCGATAAATAAGACATCATGGGTTCTAGCACGAGAAAGAAGAAGGAAAAGGCCAAGGACTTTGCGGTATGAACATCTCAGTGACGCTGCCTCTCATGAGACCTCGCATCAATACTGACATGCTCCTACAGAAACCAAAGTTCAAGGTCGGAAAGGCCAAGGCCAAGCCTACCAACTTCACAGACACAAGTTTCAAGGCAAAGTCCATTGCTATGGGCCACCAGAAGCTCTCAACTGAAGCCCCCGATAACGCTACTCAATTCAAGCACAACCTCTCATTAGCCTCTACATCAAGAGCAGATAAGCAGCGCAAAGAATCTCTGGCCCATCTGACAAGCCAGGTGCTGGTAGACAACAACCCTGTCGGAACCGCAACAGTGCTAAGCAAACTCCTGCCCCTGATCTCAGACGCCTCAGGTCCTGTTCGCAGCCAGCTGCTGAAGCTGTTCCGGGCCCTGCCCGAGGCAGAGGTCAAGCATCACGCCGAAAAGTGCATCATGTACACCCGCGCAGGAATGACTCACCTCTCTGCCGACATCAGCAACGACTCGCTATCCGTTCTCGAGTGGCTTCTGGATGTCGCGGAAGACGAGACCGTCAGCTGCCCCGGCGGTTGGGTCAAGACTCTCAACAGCTTCTGCGCGCTGATGGGCTGGACCGTGAAGACGAGCTCGGGGTGGTCGACCGCCCCCAAGACGGGTCTCCGCACAAAGGACGCACAGTCGCACGCGAGGCAGGTCGCCGTGCTGGCTAGGTTTATGCAGGCCGGACTCAAGCCCGAGGTTGCGGGGCCGAGTAACCCCAACGCCTATGTGGACAATATGTACCGGGTGCCCCGGACGCCAAATCCTTTTGCGTACCTCAACCTTTTTGGGACCCGCCGGGACGAGGAAGCGGAGATGTATAATGACCGCGAGTCACGGCAACGGGTTTTCCACAGGAGGTTCATGGATTCGTTCCAGCGAGGCGTGGAGCAGTCTAAGAAAGAGGGCGGTACCATCGGTCGTTCGGCCGTTGCATTGGATCAGGCCTTGACCGAAGGTATGAGCGGGTACGAGGCGACGTCTGCTGTTGAGCCTCAAGATCTCCTTGATCTGTGGTGAAGTATGTGGCCCCGCAAATCTACAATGATCTACAATCTTTGGCGGTCTCAGGAACCTGCCCGACAAGATTTCCTGCTCGTATCAACCTCTCCCCCGCAGTATTGGAGGTTCCAGTCACTGCCGCTGAAGGTCAGTGCCCGAGCAGCTACGTCCTGCCTGTTGGGGCAAAGTAAAGCGCCGGAGGGTTTCTTGCGAGATAGAATGACTCTAGGCTTTATCGCGATAGACGTTTGGTTTATTGGAATTGGCGGACGGGGCGAAGTGCTGTTCAAGCCGCTCAATAAGTCCCAAGAGCGACGCCATCCGCTACCTCATCATGTAGCATTCATAGATGGATATATCAATGATACCCATCTCACCTCGGTGAGATTCCTGTTGTCTAAAAAATGTAGTTACTCCGAAATTAGAGACGAAGAGACATCTCTCAGGTGAATGACTGTCCTTTAGTGTCATGTGGTGAGCCGATTAGATTGGAAGCTCCTCAATTGTCTTCTTTTAGCTTTACTCTTGACACGAAGCTGCCATCAGGCAGCATCTTACATGCCTGATTTGTTGGTCAGATGCTCCATAGGGAACTATTCAAGTTGACTCAACTTCAGACACAAAGGTGAGATACGCAGAATACTTTGTATCTTCAAGGCCTTTCAGCTGCCTTTGTCTTTACGGGATCACTCGTATATTATTGAACCTCTACCCGGGGTACTTCTCTCTCTTTTCATGTTCTGCCTTGCTGTAGGCAGCTAAGTCGAAGGACCTCGTCGAGACAAGAAGCCAGTGTCATGTCAAATGAGCGCTGTCCAAGGAGAGGTCTTGAATTCGTCTGGCCTTTCCTCTCATCCGAAGCTGCGATGTGATTTCGTCCAGTGTTTTCAAGTTCCGATGGAGCCTTCAGAAATGAGGCAGAAGGTCAAGTCCTGGATGGTGCTCTCCCGCCCGATTGTAATGCCTCACGAGGCAGTCACACTTCAACATTCATGCCCGCTTAGTCGTCCTACCCACCTACTTCGTTCATTGTGTCTTCCTTCCTCTAAGGGCGGTGCCTGCCCTCGGCCTCCAGCCCTTTTGCCCTCTACGGACCGACCTACCGCCTTCCAGCCTTCCGAAGTCCTCTCACCACGGAGATTTATATCTCATCTGCTGCTGCCCAACTTCTTCCTCTTCCCTCTTTTCCTCCCCACCCATCACAGATCGTCAAGAAAGGATCACCAGCAGGAGATCAGTTTTTGACTTCATTCTTCGTCTGACAGGTAAGTACTTTCCACATTGTTTGATCAGCGAATTCATTATTCACATTTATTTTTCCATCAATCCCCGTCATCATTCATCGACGGATTCTGCCGTCTTCAACTTCGATCGTGGAAGGTGTTGACGAGCGCCAAATTCTTGGCTTCAATCTCACAAATTGTTTTCACTTTGCAATCAACTTCACATTGATTTTCCCAGCCCTTGATCCCGACTTGTTTGCTCCATCGGAAACTGCAGTTTCTCGAGAACATCCCTTCTTCAAGGCTCCTGCCAGTTTCCACCTCGGAAATTGACAGTCTTCCGATCTTTCCTTCCTCGTTGTAACCACACCAACCGTTTTCGGGTTTCAGTGGCTTCCATTGTTTTCTCTCACACAAATCTGGCTTCCTTCTTCTTTTTTTGCGCTGTGCTAACTCATCGACAAACTATCCAGCACCAAGGCTCTCGCCCCGTGTAGTCTTCCTTGCAATTTTCGCAGCATCCTTCGATCAAGCAAACCAAGGTAAGTACCACGAGCCGCATTACCCCGACTAACCAAAAAACCCAAAACCTAATCAACATGAGCAGACTTCCTCCCGCCGAGATGTCTGCCTTCGACACTGCCGATATGCAGTCGGCTCTTCCTGCCGATGGCAAGAAGGCCCCTGCCGCTGCTGTCAACAGCGATGGTACAAAATGGGCTGAGCCTCTGCCCTACAACTACGACGAGCTTGCCCAGCAGGGTCCCGAGGTTGCGACTGAGTGGGCTGGCAACGGTGCCGTTTACGAGTGGGATGAGGAGTTTGGCGACGTTGGCCCGAAGTTCCCCGACCTCGAGCTCGCTCTCTTCGGTGATTCCAACTCCCGCATTGCCTCTAACTCTGGCCTCGACTTCTCTGTGTAGGTTCCCTTTTGGCAATGAATTGAATAAGACTGATGGCTTATAGCATCTCTTCTGTCGAGGTTACCCAGGAGGGTGAGATCCGTGTTGAGCCTGTCCACTCCTACAAGGACGCCGGCTTGCACCCTGTCATGCTGGAGAACATCGATCTTTGCGGCTATGAGGCCCCGACACCCATCCAGAAGTACACCCTTCCCGCCATTCACAAGGGTCTCGATGTTGTGGCTATTGCTCAGACCGGCAAGTTTCCCTCTGTTTGCATCTTGTTTACTATTTCTAATGTATTCAAAAAGGTTCCGGCAAGACCGCGGCTTACCTTATTCCCATCTTGAACAAGCTCATGGGCAAGGCCAAGAAGCTCGCTGCACCTCGCCCCAACCCTGCCGAGATTGCTCTTGGACAGCAGTGGGTTCGTGCAGAGCCTCTGGTGGTCATCGTTTGTCCAACTCGCGAGCTGGCTATTCAAATCTTCAATGAGGCCCGCAAGTTCTGTTACAGAACTATGCTTCGCCCGTGTGTCGCCTATGGCGGTGGTCCCTTGAGGGACCAGATTCAGCAGCTTGGAAAGGGCTGTGATGTTCTCATCGCTTCCCCTGGTCGTCTTGTCGACTTCATCCAGCGGCCAGACACTCTCTCGCTCAAGCGCTTGAGATACATGGTCTTCGACGAGGCCGATGAGATGCTTCATGATGACTGGCGCGAGGAGATGGATGTCATCATGACTGGCGGTGGTAAGCTCTATCCGTTCACTGTTCTTGTCTCGAACCTCCACTAAACCTTTTTCAAGAACAGCAGGAGGGAAATATCAAGTACATGCTGTTCTCGGCTACCTTCCCCAAGCCGCTCCGCGATCTCGCGAAGGAGAACCTGTCTTCCTCCAGCGTCCGCATCAATATCGGTCGCATTGGGAGCACCCACACCAACATTCTCCAGCGCGTCTTCAAGTTCGACGCCTTCGAGAAGAAGGAGGCTCTCAAGGATCAGATCAACTCTCTTCCTGCCTGCCGCACCATCATCTTCGTCAACCAGAAGCGTACTTGCGATGACTTGGACGATTTCTTATTCAACCTTGGCTTCCCTTGCACTTCGATGCATGCTGATCGCACTCAGCTTGAGCGTGAGGCTTCTATGCGCGCTTTCCGTGCTGGAAAGTCTCCCATCCTTATTGCCACTGGCATCAGCGCTCGCGGCATTGACGTGAAGAATGTCAACCACGTCATCAACTTCGACCTGCCTAGCTTGGATCATGGTGGCATTGAGGAGTACACCCATAGAATCGGTAAGCAGAGCTCTTTCTTGCATGTTTTCATCTACGCATCAAAAATGGCATTGCGCCTTTTCTCTCGCGATTTTGAACCGTTACTAACGTAACTAATTATCAGGCCGCACCGGTCGTATGGGTCAGCGTGGCATTGCGACTTCTTTCTACACTGACCGCGATGAGCCCATGGCTAGCGTTCTCGTTCGCACCCTCTTGGAGACTAAGCAGAAGATTCCTGACTTCCTCGAGCCTTTCAAGCCCACTGGCAAGGGCCTTGAGAACCTCAAGTTCGAGACTGAGAGCGACTTCGACCCCGAGGAGGCCGGCATTGCTCACCTTGGCGGCGAGGGCGGCGGCTGGTCCAACGAAGGCGGCGGTGGCGATGCTGGAGGCGATGGCTCCTGGGGCGCTACTGGAGGCGATTCTGGCTGGGGTGGTGGCGGCGATTCTGCTGGTAACGATACCAAGCAGGAGGAGCCCGAGGCCGCTCCCGCTTGGGGCGCTTCTTCTGGCGGTGGTGGTTCTTGGTAATTAGATAATACCTTCTGCATTTCCAGAGGCAAAGTTTGGGTTCTTTGCGGGGTATGTCGACCATAAGATGGGATAGATGAGAGAAGTTGGGGCGGTCTATTCGGAATGCTTTGATGGAGTTTGCCAGAATGGAATAGGATCGCAGCTAATGAATCATTTTATCTCTTGATACCAAATCTCGCGCCTCCAGACTGTTAATGCGCTTGGGAGTCCGACTTTGAAGTGTCCGATGCTCCAGAATCAAGTCCTTGGCTGACAACATCCATCAGGAGAAAGAAAGCAGGACAGCCGGCCTTGTTCATATGGTTCCCTGATTCTGTGACACATGTATAGCAGATATTTAGGCTTACGGAGTGATAAAAATAGATAGGAATGAAGCTGGGCATGAATGAAAACTTCATGATACTTTTGATTAAGTTGATATATATGCCTCTAACCTCACACTTTTCCCTCTCCCATTATTACTATGATGCAAGATCTAGCAAGCCAGAGCAATTAAGCTCCTCCATTTTCATTTCTATATTCGTAAGGGCTATTAAAGGTGAACTAGGCATTCTTCATTATGTCGAGAATGCCCCTGAATTTGCCTGCCAGACTCTGCGCATAACCCACGCCAACAACACCTCTAGTAAACCGCCAGCTCCGCTCCTGATCCGGAACGGGATATTTTACGGGCGGGGGGATGGCGGTGCGAACGCCCAACCAGCCAAAGCGGTCGACGCAGATGCTCTTGATATTACAGAGACCCCTGAGTCCTTCCTCGCCGGCGAACCGGCCGTAGCCTGAGCCGCCGACGCCACCAAAGGGGAGCTGGACGGCGTAGGTTGCGCCAAAGTCATTGACGGCTACCATGCCGGTGTTGAGGCCATCGACGACGGCGCGGAGAACGGGGTCGTTGTCGCCGCCGAAGATGGAAGCGCCGAGTCCGAATTCTGGCGCGTTGGCTACTGACAGAACTGAGTCTGCGTCGGGTCCAGGAGCGCGCATGATGGTCATGACGGGGCCGAAGCACTCTTCGTTAGCGATTTCCATTTCAGGGGTAACATCGACAAGGAGAGTCGGGACGAAGTAGTGGCCCTTGGGGTGCTCTGGGTGGATGTATCGTTTGCCACCTGCCAACAAGCGGGCTCCTTGCTTGACTGCCTTCTCAACGAGGGATTCAAGACGGTCAAACGCGGCATCTGAGATCATGGCGCCCACGTCTGCAGTCGGTCCCAGGCGAAGACCCTGGACCTTTGGCGCTAGAGTTACCACGAGCTGGTCGTAAAGCTTCGGCGTAGCAATGATGCGCTCAATTCCAATGCAATTTTGTCCAGAAGCTTGGAACGTACCTCGCATGAGGATTTCGACGATGCGCTTCAAATCCCTGGCGGCGGAGTCGAGGACGATAGAGGGATCCTTGCCACCCAATTCCGCGATCAGAGGTGTGAGAGACTTGGCAGCTGAGGCAGCGACCTTCAGGCATACAGGGCGCGAGCCAATGAAAGTCAAGTGGGAGATCTTGGGGTGAGAGGTGATATGGTTCGCCGTCTGCGGCCAACACACAACCGTCTGAATCAGGGCGGGATCGTAGCCGTGGGCGATGAGAGCCCCTCTCGCGATACTCGTAAAGTATTGGGAACTCCAGGCCGTCTGTTCAGAGACCTTGACTAGCACACCATTACCGGCGAAGATACTCGAAATGATGGGTCCGATAAGGTTGTGGAACGGGTAATTCCAACTGACCAGGGCACCGACAACACCGAGTGGTTCGTACCGCACTTCGTTTCGTTTGTATGCCATGAGGAGATTCGTAGGTCGCGGGCTGGGGCGGAGGGCCTTCTCGCCATGGTTCAGCGTCCATGTGAGCTTTTCGACGGTCACGAGAATCTCGCCAAGCTGTGCGTCTACCATCGTCTTGCCCGAGTCGAGACAGGCGGCGCGGCAGATGGCTTCCTGGTTATCGAGGACGTGTTGTAGCATTGTTCGAAGCACTTGACGGCGATCGCGAAAGCTAGTATTCTTCCATTTCGCCTGCGCCGCATGGGCAGCGTCGACGGCGCGGTCAATGGAGGCCGGGGTGGAGGGGTTGATGAAGCCGAGAAACTGCCCCGTGGCCGGGGCGTAGCATTGGACTGCGGTTGTGCCGGAGATCTGGATTGTACAGCCCAGTCAGCCATTGATTCAAGCTTGAGAAAGGGGTGAGATCTAGCCAACGTAGTATGCCATACCTTCACACTCGTCTCTTCGACAATGGAGTGCTCGTCGGGAATCTTCGGCGGCGGGACGGTGTATGGGACGGCCTTGTCCTCGTTACAGCTCTGTGCCAGCCGCAAGATAAAAATACTGATCACAATAGCAGCCGCAGCCAGAACATACTGAGGGATTCCGGCCCTATTGCGAGCATGTCGAGTTAGTCTTTAGGTCTTGAGCACAACTGTGATGCCACTTTCGGGTGGCAGTAGCTTACGGAACGGCGTCGAGATACGCGTTGAACTTGTCGGCGACCTCATCCAAGAGCTGTGCGTCCATGATGAATTTTACCCGGGTCAAATTGTGTATCTCCAGAGTGCTTGTTATGGAGAGATTCTGCAATTGCCGTCGTGGGCACTGAGACCATGAAGATGCTATGTTCAAACACCGAGCCCCCTCCAAGCGGATCCATCTATGAGGTCGCGGCGCATCGGATGTTCTTGGTCAAAAATCAGCAGAGCTCGGGGGAGCTTGCCCCGGTCTGGTTCCTTGCCAGGGCCCTCGCTGTGGTGGGACTTGCACCTGGCATTGGGCAGGGGGTAGCTGCAGGGGTGACAGGCACAGCAGGTAGGGCGCAACACATTCGGTACCTGAACTTTCCCAGTGTCCCAGTCAAGTTCCTACTGGACTCATGGAGAACAATGTCAGGCCCCGAGCAAGGCGTGTTGCCTGATAACTTTACTATCTAAAAATATTATCACCGCAATCTTCTCGTCTTCATCCTGTCAATTGATTAAGGGGAATCATAAGTTTAACACCCAAGGAACTCAAAGTTAAAATGGGTCTTGTTAACAATTCAAATACCACTTGGCTTCTGTCTCTGTGGCTCATCTTCAAGCTTTCCCCCTATTATGTTTTGTTTTTTTTTGCATCTTTTCCCTTCTCATGCTCGCGCGTATGTACAAAAAGCGTCAACAGCGCGAGAGCTGTGCGCCATCACATTGTTTGGTCCGCCCAGACTCACAACGCCCTAGGGTCTGACGAAGAACATCCAGCACCCTCAGCATGGACTGGTTCCTGGCGCCCCCCTCTCAATTCTAGGATGCACACCAAAGCTTGCACAAAAATGCCTTCCGAGACTTCCATTCCTTTGTCCTCCTAAAACGCCGTCGCAGTAGGAATCCCTATACGATAAAACTACCAACATAACATAATGAATTCGGAACCAAACAGAAAAAAGTAGTGACGGAGCGTGTGTGTGTGTGTGTATGTGGGTGACAAAGCATCGAGTCGCTGGCGTGCGAGAGGTGGAATGTCGTAGATCGCTCATGCAGATCGTGATGCATCGGGGGATATCAACAAAACAGCAAAAAGAAACAGTAAGGCCCCGTCGGGAGGGCCAGGCCGGATATAGTACAAGGAGAATTCGATTCGATTCGGTCGAGGGTCTGGAACAGCCGCTACATGTTGGCGCTCTTCGTCAATGACAGACCCCGTAGTCGTCTGGGATGGAAACGGTCGCTGTAAGACTGGCTAGACTCTATCCGAGAGAGGCGAGCGGCCGAGGTAAAGTCGTTACTGGCCTCGAAACTGGCCCGTGTGCGGTCCATCGAAGCTCGCATTCGATCGTAGGATGGTCGGGCTCGATCGTAGGAGGGACGGGGTCGTTCGAAGGAGGATCGCATCGGAGGGGTCATGTCGAGGGACTGCGTTTGCATCATGTCCATCGATTGCCGGTGGCCCGTGTAGTTGGTGCCATCGCTGCCATTTTGGCTGCGCGGGTTGTGCGTCGTGTGTGTTGCAACTGAAGGTGGATAGATTGGCCTTCTGTCCTCATCCACACTGGCATAGTGTATATGCTTACCCTTGCGCGAGCTGACCGACGAGTTCGACGGGGTCTTACTCGCCGTCTGCTCCCCAATAACCGTCGCGTCGTCGCCCTGCGTGAGACGAGAGAATTTTCCTTGCCGCTCTTGCTCGCGGATGATGTCGACGTCGTATGGAAAGTAGACCTTCTGAATCGCCTTGATCGCGAACCGGGGAAAGAGACTGATGACCGGTACAATGAAGAAGACCGCCCAAAAAGATGCTTGGGCGTATACCTGCGGGGCGGCTTGATAGAAAAACACTGACCCTTCGGTGGCTGTGTAGATGCCGGTAACGATGAAAATCATAAGGTCGCTGAGGACTACAATCAAGATCATGATCCAGTCCCATCGGTACGTGTTGATGAGGATATACGCGTTGATGACGAAGACAGCGGGGTGTGCAATGTAAGCGCCAAGTCGCGTTCGGTCTTCGATATTCAGACCGTTCTTCGTCACGAAGCTCGTGCTGCTCACTGCCAAGTACGGAATGTAGAAGACCATGACCGATTGGTAGACGCCGTCAAGCATGTAAAGCCTGGAACCTAGTTAGCATCGCATCAGGGCCACTGCTGTGACCATACGTACCAGAATTTGGTCTGTGTCCATTCCAACCGTTCGATACCACGGCGATAAAGCTGCGGTACAGCCAGAGAGACCTTGTCCGAAACATCCTGGTCAAGAACACCCATAACGACGACCGGAACCGAAGTGAAAAGGAGGTTGAACAACAAGATGTACGTGTACTCGTAGATATACGTGACGTCGAAGTCGCAGTAGATTTGGTACCAGAAGATACCAAACACCCATACAACGTTTTTGTAGAAGAAGTTGGCCACCGTCTCGGCGAGACGACGGTACGACCACCGACCGTGTACGAGCACTAGCCGCGATAGGAAGCGGAACTGGGCGATCGCGTAGTCAGAAGACATGACCGCCTGTCGACCCTCCTCACCAGCGATACCAACGCCGACATCTGCCTCTTGAATCATGGCAACATCGTTGGCGCCGTCTCCAATGGCGAGAGTCATGACATCCAGACCGTTCTTAACCATGTTGACTACGGCGGCCTTCTGAGCAGGACTGACTCGGCAGCAAAGAACCGACTTGCACTGCTTGCAGAGAAGCAGGAACTTCTGCTTCAACGCATCGTGAAGAACCCACTTCAGAGAGAAACCGTCAATAACCAGGCCGTGGGTTGGGCCAGGTGGTTCGTGGTTCTTCCTGGCCTTGGCCAAGTCGTCGTTGTCGCCCTTCAGACCGAAGTCCTGTAAGTACTTGTCAAGCTCCTGCTCCAAGATATTGAGGAAATGTTCATCGGGTGTCTCGCCAGTTTCGTCTTCGTCAACTTTCAGGTGGATAAGCTCCATGTCGTTGTTCAGAAGGTTGCAGGAGAAACCAATGTTGATAGCAGTCTCGACCTTGTCGCCAGTGAGAACCCAAAGCTTTATGCCAGCGTCGCCCAGCAGAGCGATGGTATCGGGAACGCCATCTTGCAGTCTGTCTTCAATAGCGGTGCCTCCAAGTAGTGTCAATTCGCGCTCGAGGTGATCTGCGACCTCCTCCATCTTCTCTTCTCGATGTTCAAGAGCCGCTGCAGCCGCGTCGTACTCCTTGCGCCAGGTGGCGTATTGGTCCTCGGTGAGTTCTCGCTGCGCAATACAGAGCGTTCTCAAACCTTCGCGGGCAAACATTTCCAAGTGCTCGGCCGTGAGTTTGCGAAGCTCTTGCTGCTCGCCCCGCTTCAGACGCGAATAGATGATACTGTCCGCTCCCTTGCAGATGAGCAGAATGCGGTTGTCAGGCATCCGCACAATTGCGCTCATACGCTTCCTGCTCGAGTTGAACTCGATTGTGTTCAATATCGGGTAGAATCGATCCTCGCCCATGACATTCAGGTTGATGCCCTCCTGAGAGCTGCCAAGCACCGTGAAACCCATGTCGCGGGCTGTTGCGACAAGAGCCGCCTCGTCAGGTGATTGTGCCTTGAACAGCATCTTTGGCGGTGATCCGGGTATCTTCTCGGCGATGACAGTATGGCACAGGGCGAGGCAGAGCATGAAGTGCTCATTCGCCACTTGCTGTTCATCACCAGAGTCACCCGCCAAGTCAGAGACATAGTCAGGCGCAATGAAAGTCAGGTCGGAGTCATGCAAGTAAGGGTTGTCGTGAATATTCCTGAGACCGTCGATCGCACGTATTTTGGCATCCGCAATTTCGGCTCTGGCTTCGGCTGCCTCCTTCTCCACGTCGACACCGAGGCGTTTCTGCATGCCAGCTTGAGCTTCCGTGTATGCTTCGCCATACGGCTGTCCGTTGATAGTTGCTTTCTTGAACTCCATGACGTTTTGTGTCAATGTACCGGTCTTGTCGGAGAAGATATACTCGATCTGGCCAAGGTCGTCGGAAATATTCCACGACTTTGGGATACAGGGTTGGTCCAGGGGTTCGTAGTACATCTCAACGTCGCTGTAGATGAAAATTGCCTGCAATAGGCGGACAATTTCAAGAGTGATGTAGAGAGCAATGGGAATCAAGTTCTGGAACACAATAAGAGCGGCCCAGAATGTGATGAAGCCGGACATGGGTGCCGTTCCTCCGATGGATCCAAAGTCAAAGAAGTGTAAAGATGCGTCCGTTTTCGCCCATGCGACACCGTTGACGATGCCGGTCAAGACGCAGAGAATAAAGAGAATGCCGAAGTTGTAAATGACATTGAAGTTCATTTCCCTGGCGATTCTGGGACGCTTACTGGGCGTGATACCAGAGTTGATCATGATTTTGGTGTCATGTCCCGTGAAGGCGACGACTCCAAGGGCCCATTCCGTGTTTCTCAGATTGCAACCACGGAGAAGCAAGTTGTCGATCGTAATGGGCTCAGTCATCAAGTCGGGCTCGGATGAGTCTTCGAAGGTTTGGTGCCAACGAATGGCACCGTTATACTTGTAGAGATTGGGCTGCGGCGGTTCACTCTCGATCCAGAACTGGGCTCGTTCGCAGTCCCTGGCATGCTTCAGTGACCTACCACACCTCAGTGCTTGTCGGACCTTCAAGTTCGTCTCGCCGTCCAAGTTTTTGGTTTCGACGTAGCAGGCGCCATCTGGGTCAGACGTGGACAGTACGATGATGTCAGCTGGCAGTTCGTCGTCGTTGTAAATTCGCACGAAGTCGCCAACTCTCAAGTCTTTCCAGTGATCCTTGTGAAATCGGGCGTCACCTTTGACCGGTACACTGCGATTCACCACGTCTCCCTTTCGTTGCATCAACTCTCTGACGCGCTTGTGGTCATCTTCTTGCGGGACCTCGAGAGTCTGACGGGGAAGTGGAGAGGGAACCGGTGTCATCTGGATATCCTCTCGGGCGGATACAAACGAGTCTCGATTGGATCGGGGTTGGTTGAAAGAGTCTCGGGGGATGTGGGTCTCAACCGAGGGTCGCGGCGCATCGGCGTACGCTTCTGGGTTCTTGCGCACTGCCAATTCCTTCCTAGCCTTCTTGGACCAAATGCTTTCGATTGTGTGCCAGACAAGGCCAAAGAAGCGACTGTTGGCCTTCTTAATGCGCCTCCACAGA